AAAAAAAAAAAAAAAAAAAAAAAAATTCCCCCAAACAGTTCCAACACCTAAATCAGTGACTTCTAGCATTTGCTGAGATCTCCCAGCTCCCTTCTCAGCAATTTTCTCTCTGGGAACTTGCCCCACAAAGCCCAAAATATAATTCTGGTCAAAAACAATAACAAACCTAGCTGGGCATGGTGGTGCATGCCTGTAATCCCAGCTCTGGGGAGGCTGAGGCAAGAGGATCACTGTGAGTTTGAGACCAGCCTGGGCTACACAGTGCGTTCAAGACCAGCCTGCACTACATAGAAAAACCCTGTCTCAAAAAAAACCCCAAAATCTGCCCCCTCCCACCCCTGAGAGCTCGGAGAAGAGTGACCTGCTCTGGAAAAGACAGTATCAAAGAGGGCTCAGTGGGTGAGCGCCAGCAGGCTCCCCGCCATGTCTCCTGCCACTGGTCCAGTCAGACTCTCCAGATACTGGCTGCCTAAGTCTACAATCATTATGTTTATTTTTAAATTCTAGAGCAGCGCTGTCCAAAAGCAACATAATGGAAAAATATATATAAAGGGTTTTTTTTTTCAAATATCTAGTAGCATGTTTCAAAATTAAAAGAAGCAGGGCATGGTGGCACACAGCTGTAATCCCAGCACTCTGGAAGGCTGAGGCAGGATGATCACAAGTTGCACAGTTTAGTGACTTCACAAGAGCCTGTCTGAAAAAATAAAGGGCTGGGGATATAGCTCAGTATGAAAGCCATGTGTTCAATCCCCAGTATGCCTCAAAAAGTAAAAGGCATTATTTTTTTGCAGTACCTATTTGGCCCAGAGGCCAGAGCTCACAAATCCCACTTTCTGTGAAGCCTATAAGGCCACCCTTGGGATGGCCCACTGAAGAACTGCTAACTGGGAGCCACTGCTATTCTTGCTTGCTACCTTAGAGTGGAATATGACAGCAGGAAGAGAAAGGGTAAAGTCAGTCGCAAAGGAAAAGGAAGACACTTTAGCAACAAAGCCCCCATCCCTGTGGAGCAATTTCAGATGAAAGAAGAAAAAACATATTTTTAAATAGAGATGAAAGTAATATAATTTTCCTTGCATATATCATCTTACTGTGGATGGTTACATGGTGCTATAAACTTTCATGGGAAGAAATTCTTAATGGTATATTTCAGAGTGCAGCCATGACCAACGGTAAAATTGTAGATGTAGACATGTAATGTATCAGCCACATAGGTAAATAAACACATACTTGCTAGGATTTGCTGAAGCATTGTCAAGGATTTCTGATTGGTAACTTTCCACAGTTTAATTGGAAAGACGAGATTTTGTAAGGATGCCTGGAAATCACTTTTTAAACAGGTGGAGGGGGGCTGGGGATTTAGCTCAGCGGCAAAGCGCCTGCCTGGCAAGCGCAAGGTCGTGGGTTCGGTTCCCGGTACCGGAGAAAAACCAAAAAATAATAATAATAAATAAATAAATAAATAAATAAACAGGTGGAGGATTATGTACCAGTGACACAACCCTGGAGAGCAGTAGGGCTGTGCTGTTGAAGCAGAGAGGGCAGATGGAGGTGGCGATTCACCACCTCAGGAGGTGTTTAAATACTAATGATCTATCTCTCGTGTAGCACTGTGGGAAAATACGTAGACTAGAGGATTTGTCTACTTTAAAAATCTGGAAAATGGAATAAAAAAAATCTTCATGGAAAGGAATGTGTAGGAAAAGACATCAGAATGATGTAGGAGGGATGGCAAAGGAGAACAGAGAAGCAAAATGTGGCCAAGCATGTTGGTATCTATCAACTCGAGATGACATTGCTCATACCGTCATAGAACCTTCTCTCCTCTGGCCTCTTCTATGCTTTTGGTTTTCTCCAAAAGCTGTTCTTAGGCAGTGGCTCATCATGCACTAGGGTTCCTAAGAGTTCTTGCCAGTTTAGGACTCTTCTTACAGAGCCCAAATCCTATGAAACATTGACCCTCTGTAGGTTTGTCTGTTTCCTGCCTCTACTCTGTTCCTTACTAGGAAGGCTGCAGGTCTTGGGAAGATCTTAATATTTCTGATACTGAGAAGACAAATTCTCCAGTGTCCTTGAATAAAGGACCAGAGGAGGAAAAGTGAGGGAAGTGTTGGGAATTAACAACCTGTGAGTCGAGGGCAGGCATGGGCAACCTGAGTTAAGAGAGGAATCACAAAGAGTGACCAACTGGTGGAGCCCAGCTGTAGAAGACAGACCTTTTCACCATGCCCTGGGAAAAAAGAGCTGAAGGCCTGCCTCAGCTAGGCGTGTTCTACTAATATAATAACTTTGGATTAGTTCAGAGATTCCTCTTCCACTGCAGGTTTCTACTGCTACAGTGGCAGAGGAGCACCCAAGAGATCAGTCTTCCTCAGATAACAGCTTTTAAAACCGACCAAAATATAAAACCAGATTCCTTAAGTCACTGGGGATTTGGACATTTGGAAAAAGAGATGCAACTGGGTGAGTGCCCCCTCCCCTTTTTCATAGCTCTTTGCTTGAGGGCAGGTCCCACTTGGTACTATGAAGAGTATCAGTCTTACTGTGTTGAAAAGCAGAAAGCAGAGATGTGTGCAAATAAAAAAGTTAAAAAGTTGCGAGGACAAATCCTCCAAGGGAGAGAGCTAGAATGGGTCAGCTACATATTTTACATGCAAATTCTATCCTTCCTGAATTATGTGCAGCTAAATAGACTAATAGATACCAACTGCCTTTTGCATAGGAGACCAAGGTTTGGAATTTACATTCATCCATGTTAGCTGCTGACTGAAATAATGAACAAAAACCAATAGTCTTCAGTGAAATATAATAAAATCTAAAATCTCTATATATTGTTCACAATATCCAGAATATGATCCAATATCACTGGACATAAAAAACACAGGAAATGTAACTCAGGCCAAATAAAATGCAATAAACAGAGGCCAACCCTAGGATGGCTCACCTGGTAAAATTACCAGAAATGTTTAAAAGCACTCAAAGTATTATAATCATGACATAGAGGAAAATATTCTCATAGCAAATGAGTAAATAAACAAAAGTCTCCACAGAGATCACTTATTATAAAAAGAGCCAAATGGGGATACTAAAATTAAATAAAAATATGAAATTTTAAAAAATTCATTAGAGGTGCCTAATATCAGACTGGTGATAACAACAGAGTCAGTGAACAAGTGGATAGGCTGACAAAGCTACTCGCCTGAACAGAGGAAAAAAGGTTTCCCTTATAAAACTGAATAGAATCTCATGAATGTGTGAACTATTTCTAAAGGTCTAGCATATATCAAATGGGAATCATAGTAGGAGAGAAGAGAACAGAACAGAAAAACTATCAGAAGATATATGGCTGAAAATGTCCCAAATGATGCTGAAAATATAAATGTATAGATTCAAGAAATTCAATAAACTACAAGCAAGGTGTTGTGATTGATACATTGTGCCAACTTGAGAAGAAGATTAACCAAGTGACTCAGCAGGGAGCCAGGGTCCTCACTTTGTAAACGTTCTCATCCCCTGCAAGAGGAAGGCATGGAGATTGTGAAAGTGCTACACCAGCCCTTGAGGGGTGGGTGAAAGAGCCTGCTTACAATACAAGAGAGGAAAACGGGCTTGTTCCTCCCCTCTTTTGCTCTTGCTGCTTTTGCTGTTTTCTGCCACCTTGAACTGTTGCCCCTGTGCCATGTGCCACTCTGCCTTGGAGCCAGCTGATTATAGACTGAAACCTCTGCAAACTGTGAGCTAATTAAAACTTTCTTGCCTTAATTTTGTCTCAGCAAGGAGAGAAAGTAACTAAGACACAAGGTAAATATAAAATAAATAACACTGAGGCATATTATTGTATAACTGATAAAAACCAATGGTAATTTGAAAGCAACAAGAGAAAAAGAACATACAGTAAGTCCCTACTTACAACCATTAGAGTTACAAACTTTCATAGATACAAATGCAGCTCACATTCATAGATGCTCATATGTCTGCCAGATACTGTCACAGTTGTGCTGTTGTGTGCTTACTGTACAAAGCAACAGTGTACAGTAATACAGAACAGTCAGGGGACAATGCATTTGTGTGTGTGTTTGGTTTTTTTATGCTTTACATTGTATAATTGTTGCAAAGATGTATAAGACTCTCTTTGTCAGATTTATGCACAAATCTGACTCATGAATGTGCCCCCACAATGGAACTCACTGGTAAGTTGGGGACTTACTATATTGTATAGAAGGGCACAATATTAAAAACTATAGCTATCAGAACTAATGTAGCTCAGAAGATAATTAAACAACAGTTTTGAAGTAGTAAGAAAAAAATTGTCAACCAAGAATTTAGCAAAAATATCCTTCTGTAATTAAGGTAAAATAATTTGCCACCAGCAAATCTACATTAACAAACCTGTAAAGTTTTCGAAACTGAAGCAAGCCATGCAAAATGGAAATGCAGAACTCAGCAAAGAAAAAAGAGTCTCAGGGATGGTAAATACATAGGTAAATGTAGATGACTATTTTAATTATCTTTTTAATATGTAAATACTTAAAGAAAAAAGTAATTACATGCTTTTACATTTCACATAAAGCGATACAATTTTAATTCTAAGACTGAATAATCTCAATAATATACATATTATAATTCCCATAGAGATTATGTAAAATAATGTGAAGAATAACCAGAAAATCAATGGGTACAGAGAAATTCTAAACTTCTGTGTTTATTTAACCCCAAAAGACAGAAAACGAAAAACAGATGGAACAAAAAATAAAATTATGGATTTATATCCAGCCATATCAATCATTATAGTAAATGTTAATTAACTAAACATACCAATTAAAGGGGCAAAGATTATCAGAATGGACTTAAATCAAAAAATTAAAAATAGAAAAGCAGACCATTTGCCAATAAGGGACATAACAGAGATTTAAAGTAAATACATGTTTCAAAATGGTATACCATCAAAGCAGTAAACAAAAAGGGCTGTTTATATAGCAATAAGGAATATTACCAGAGATAAAGAACAACATATTACAATGCTACAAGAGTTTCCAGAAAGACATATAAATATTAAATGCACTTAAATAGAGCCTCAAAATACATGAAAGAAAAATTGACATGTAGGAAGAAACACAGACACACCCACACACATGGTTGGGATTTTGACATCCTTCTTTCAATAATTAGTAGAACTACTATACAAAAAATCAGGAGAGAGTGACATGGGTCAATGTACAAGAAGTAATAAAAAATATGGTGATTTTTTAAAACCTCATTGCAGTAAAAGACACATTGCCAAAAATAATAGGATAAATGTGTTCAATGTAAGGAGAGATATTTTGAGTATTTTGAGGGTAACATGCATTTTACTATAATAATTTTTTTAAATTTAAACGTTGACCATATGTTTTGACCACTGCTCAGTGTGCAAATCCTTAGAATGGTCCTGGCACTCAGCTCAGCACTAGAGTCAGTTAAAGTTCCAACCACCTGAGGAACTAGGGAGAAAAGAAGAGCAGCTTCGGACAGCAGAGCGGATGGGCATCCTGAGGCCTGGACAGCAGGCAGAACTATTCCTCTGTGTAGAGATGTGGGAGACTATCAAGCTGCACTCTCCTGAGGAATGAAGCCCCTTGCCTGGGTCTTTCCCTAACCTCTCCTCAAACCCTATTCACTGAGATATGCAGAGCTGGCTCTATTGAAACAAATGTTCCCGCAACTGGCCAAAAAAATGTGATGGAGTCAGGCCCGGTGGTCTCATTAATAGCAAAGCAGCAACATGTAGGTGAGAACAGTCTCCATGCTGTCAGCAGGACTAAGGCCATGGGACTCAGAAAAGATTATACCTTCCTGGCAGTAAAGGTGCCAGCCTTGCATACATCAAACTGGTGTATACATTGCCTTGCACACATTGCCTTTACACCTGGTACAAAACTGCTCTGTTTCTCATTACAGCCAATGCCTGCAAATTTTCTTTTCCCCAGCACTGTACTGCTATCCCCACCCACCTCCCCGATTGCTACCAATAAAAGCCTTGAGCTTTTGGACTCACGGCCTTCTGTTCCACAGAGAACCTTGGCCATCCCAGAACTCCTCAACTGCAGAACTTTCCCTCTTGGTGTTTATTTTGCATCTGTGTGCCATACTGCCAGGTGGGAGACCTGAACCCTCCACAGGGCTTTCAGTATAGAGAGAGCAAAACAATGAAGATGCCGTGAGAGTGACTGCAGGCTAAGGAACTCCCGGAGTGCACAGCTGCAGTTCTGGCTGAAGCTGACTGCTGGCCCCACAAGGGTGAGAAACCCCTGGGGTAGCAAGGTTGCCCGGTGTTGTTCTCATTTCTGTTTGCTTTCAATGTTACTTTGTTGCACTGTGCCCCTCTGTGGTTGAGGGCAAGGGGACCATCTGGGGAGGCAGCTACACTGAATTTGTAGAAGCTGCTACAGTCTGCATTTGCTCCTTCCCCCCAGTGGCCTGGGCCCACAAGGCCTGTGCCCACTGGAGAGACTCAGACCTGGGGTCCAGTGTTCTCAGGAGAAAGATAACAATCCTCCACTTAGCCGGGAAATGTAGCACACATTTGTAATCCCGGAACTTCAGAGGCTGAGAGAGGAGGACCGCTGCAAGTTTGAGGCCAGCCTGGGCTACATAGTCAGTTGGAGGAGAGCCTGACCGACATAATGAGACCCTGTCTCAAATCAACAGCAAAAATCCTGTGCTTAGTCAGGCATAGTGGTGCAAGTTTATAATCCCAACACCCTTCAGGCTGAGGCAAGAAGATTACAAGTTCAAGCCCAGAGCCTGGGCAACTTAGCAAGACCGTGTGTCAAAACAAAAAATAAAATAAGGGCTGGGAATATAGCTCAGTATGAAAGCCTTGGGTTCAATTGCCAGAACTGCAAAAACAAAACAAAGCAAAACAGATCCCTGGCCTTGTGAGGAACCGGGAGTATAACCCTAGACTTGAGTAGTCACTATGAGGCCCATATTGCTGCCCCTCACCACACCCCACTCCTATCCCACATCCACATGCACCTTCTCTGCCCTGAGAAGCATGCAGCTCCTGGTATACAAATCAAATATGTGGTATTAGAAAATGCTATTGGACGTTGCTGCTATTACAGTTATGGGATGGGGCAAAGAATGCTCAGCAGGACATTATGCATGACTCCTGAAATGGTAAGGATCTTGGGCCAGCAACAAAGCTCATCTCTGGATCATTCCAGGTCCTGGGGAAAACCAGAGGTGGCCTGCCAGGAGCTTCAGGGAGGCCCCTATGCCCTGGAGAAGGGAGGTCTCTCCTACTTCTCTCGCTAGAAGTTGCTGTGGTTTGAACGTGTTTCTCTAGAAGCAGGTATTGAAAACTGAATCACCAATGCAACTGTGTTGAGATGGGACCTTGGGAAGGTGATTAGGGCATGACAGTGCCACCTTCATGAATGAATTAATACAGAGTAATCCTTCTAAGGCCTTGATGCTACAAGATCCACCGCACACCCTCACCCAGGAGCTGCCCCCGGCTGTGTTAGGACACAGCAAGAAAGCCCTCACCAGATGTGGCCCTTCAACTGCAGACTTCCCAGGCTCCAGAACAGCGACCCAAATGAACTGCTATTGTTTATGGTATTCTGTTCCAGCAGCGCAAATGCACTAAGACAAAAGTCCTCCAAGGATTCTTCTCCCATGTCTGCAAATCTCCATAAACCCGGCTGCATGTGGTCAGTGTTATGCAAAAAGGAAAGAGATGTGCTATTACCAAGGTGTCTGGGAGGACCACCATGGGGCAACAGGAGTACTGAAGCAGCTGGCCCATCTTCCAGACGGACAATGGCACAACCACGAGGATCAGCATGAAGCCAAAGAAGGCAAACAGGGCCAGCACCAGGGGGAGAGCCTCTCCTGGAGACAAAACAGCAAGAACAGGCTTAGGAACAGCTGTGAAGGGGAAACCACCCACTGTGGGCCTCCTCTGATTGCCTGGCTCTGCACCTTGGCCAAGACAACAGAGATTTGATCTGTGCCAGCATATCAAATGAGATCTGATATCCCAGCACCCTGAGATTTGATAGGGGCCTTGGTGACTAAAATTACCACCATTTTCTTAGGCTCTAGATTAAGGCATGGTTTCCAGAAAGCCCCAGGGAAAATTAAAATCTTTTTCTGTGGAAGGGGAAGGGAGGAGCACGGTATGTGAGGGCACCAGCCTTGTTGGCACGTACCTGGCCCTGCTGCCACAGGAAGGCAGGGGCCAGGCGCCGGGCAGGATGAGGGGGTGCTGAAGCAGAATAGCACAGAACCCAGCTGGGCAGTAACTAAAAACAAAGGGTTTTACAGCCTGCTCTTGGCACCGATTCATATTATGAAGGAAAATACCAAGTCCAGAAAACAGTTACATAACTACTACGCTATATCAAGTCCCTATTGCAGCTGCTGGGGCTACTGCCTCCTTCCCGCTCTGTACTAGGGCTGGACACGTGGGACCCTGCTTTTACAGAAGAGACAGACAATGGCGGGGTGGTTAAATGCCAAACTTGCCAAAAGAAACCTCCTGAGTGCTGTTAAGAAGAAAGGAAAATATTTAACTCTTATTTTTTTTATAGGTCTGTAATATTTAAGTTTTTAAACAAGCTTGATGTGATTTTAAAAAGTAGTATGAAAAGGTGGTCAGCAAATCTGCATGGAAAATTTTATGGTTATGATATTGGGGAAAAATAGGAACAATGTTTATATGCTTTAGGACTACAGCACATGTCTGCACATAGGCCATCGCTAAAGGATTACATTCTTTTGGAGGGAAATCTGGAAATAGTGATCAAAATTAAATGCACAAACTTTTAACCAAGCTACTCCACCTCCAGAAATGTATCCTTCAAGTACATATATATGCCAGTAAAATGGTCTTTATACAAGGGAATTAATTACTGCATTGGCTGTAATGACAAAATATCTGGAAAAGACATAAATTCCCTCAACAGGGGACTAGTTATATTGATTGTAATATATACACAATGGAATAATATGCAGCAAAGAGGATGAATGAGTTTTCTTATCAATATAGAAAAATCTGTGAGATACAAAAAGTGAAAAAGACAAGACCCAGAAAAATCCATATAGCATACTACCATTTATGCTAGGAAAAGGGAATATATTAAATATATTCTCATTTATTTGTGTACAGATTTTAAAAATCTTTCAAAAGATATACAAGAGGCTCACACCTATTGGAGAGCATATAAGAATTACATGGATGGGGAGAGGAGTGGGAAAGAGAATTTCCATGTGCATCTTATATTTTTGAGCCATATAATGTACTATATATTCAAAATAGTAATTAATTTTTTAAGAACCTAAATGGTCATACACAAAAATGTAACCAGTTATGTTTGAATAGTAGAATCAGAGGGTGTAGTGCTTTGTTTGACTTGGTTTCTTTTCAAAAAGTTTCTAGATGATGTAGATTTTTAAAGCATAAAAAAATTCAAGGAAAAAAAATAAATCAAGCAAGATTATTCTGCTAGACCCTCTGTAAGGTCTCTTCCAGATCGAAGACACTGAAATCAACATGTGGAGTCTCTTAGCAATCCTGACTCCCTGGGGCCCCCAGCCGCCTCTCCTTCAGCCCCCTCCGACCCCAGGAAGTAACATCTGACCCCAGTGGAGGAGGCTTGGGGGAAGGTGCTCCAGACAGCTGCTCTTGGAACCCCACCCAGCCCCAGGTGGACCTCTGCCTCCTGGGGGGTCAGAGTGCCTGGCACACTGTCACCATGAGAACCCATCCAGCCTGGGGACAAATCGGGGAAATCAAAGCACCCGACCACACACCGAGGGGAGTCCCTGTGTCTGGGCCACGAGACAAGCAGGCCCCCCTTACCTTGTACCTCCACGCACTTTGTCTGGCTGAAGGCACTGTGCCTCCCAATGGCCTTCACCAGCGCCTGGGCCTTTACGCAGTACGGCGCCCCTGGCTCCATGGTTTCCAGGTGCACAGGAATGCCCCCCTTCCTCACCACTTTGGCATGTTCCTTCAGGAGACCAGAAAACGCAGTTATTCCCTGAGGGCAGCAGGATTGCAAAGGTGGAGGAGAGCCAGAGAGGGACAGCTGCAGACAGTTCCTTTCCCATGTATCCATTCATTCCTTTACTCATTCATTCAGTCATCTTTATTAAGGCAGCAGGCACTGTTCTAAGCACAAGGACATGACATGGAACAAAACGGACAAAGTCCCTGTCCTTGTGGAGCTCACGTGCCACAGGAGACAGAGAATACATGTGAGACAGTGAGAAGGGCTATGAAGGACAGCGAAGAGAGGAGAGAGATGAGAAGGTACAGTGTTTAACAGAGTGGGCAAGTTTCACCAACAGGACATTTGGGCAGAGATCTGCAGGTCGGAAACCTGACCACGCCGAGGCTTGGCATGGCCAAGGCTGCTAGGGGATCAGTGCACTAGAGCCGAGGAGCCTGCAGACCACCTCTCCTCCCTCATCCATCTGTTCACCTGTCTGCCCGTCCATCTGTCCCCTTTCCCCGCTCCACTTCTCCCCCCAAGGTCTGTGCTCTGTGTCTGCGCCTGCAGAGGCTTGTCGGAGCCAAGCCCAGATGACTCAGGGTGCACGTTCCTCTCTCAGCGCCAGCCCTGCCAGGTACAAGGGTGGGGAGTGGGCTCCATCCCAAAGAATCTGAGGGAGCTGTATCCTCCCTCCCACTAGGCCCTGGCCTATCTCCCACACCACTCCATCTGCCAGGTTGGCAGTGTCATGTCCTACCAGGGGGCCCTGACCCAATACAAGTAAATACTGGAATCTTGTGTTACTGCCTGCCCCACCTGCCCACCCCACCTTCCAGAGGATACTACACAATCTAGAGCCCCTGTAGAGTGCATGGAGAGATATGTACACCCAGACATTCCTTAGGATCAGGGATACACCCAGCCTGAGAAGGGTCCAATCAAGGCAGCTGGATACCTGCAATCCCTAAGGCTCAGGCTGATAAGAGGAGCATGGACAATGGATTCCTTGTCTAAGAATTTGGACTTCTGAAATTGAATACCTTGAGCTGGAAGTAGGGGTAAAGGGGAGAGGACATGGTGAAGAGCATCAGGCTGAGACACCTAGTTATAGGCATATGTAGGAAGCAGTGATGAGGGGGCGGAGCCTAGGGTAAACTGAGGAGAGGGTCCCAGGAGAGTCTCCCGGGAGGGAGGCAAGGCCTTCTGTGTAGGTAACGCTTGCTGCCGCCTAGCTGAGAGCCTAGCTGCTCCCAGGTCCGGGGGAGCACCTCACTCCATCACGTTGATTTTTACAAGAAAGTAAGATTCTGTGTGCTGACTGGAGTAGGCTTTGTCACCATATCAGCTTGGACAGGGCTCCAGGGGCTGGAATGTTTCCCAGTGCCTGATCAAGCTACACCCCTCACTATCCATTTATGAGGGCCCCAGATTACAGCCACCTTCCCATGGAGAGGGGCAGCTCCTTTCTTGGCATTTTGCATGGCCCACCCGCTTGTAATTAGATGGGCTTATTCGTAAGCCAGCTCCTGGCTCACTGCTCCCACTTCTGCACTGTGCCAAGATACACACCCCCAAGAGGTCTGTACCAGCCGCATGTGCTTTTGAAATCATCCGGTTGATCTGGAATGCCCTGGCCTGCTGCCCGAGTGGCTAAGGAGACCAGCTAATGAGGCAAAGGAAAAAATGCATTGTAAAGATGTTACAGGCTCAACTAGTTTAAGAGTTTAGGGCAAGGAGGCAGCCCCCAAACTTCAGCCTGAAAAGACCCCCGCCAAAATCCTGAGATGGACCAGGCTTCTTTGCAGAAGCAGCTGGTGGGTGGGCGGCATCCTCTCATCTTTCCTTCCACAAGCTTCATCCAAGATGTTCATCCTCAGGCTGCCCCGACACTGAGCACCACAAGGGCCGCATCTCCTCACTCACCCACAAAAAGCTCTGCCTCCTTCCCCACAGCCTGCTTCGTGGGCCGAGGTCGGAAGCCTCACCTTGGTGTCCGGCTCCCTCCTCCAGTAGGCCACAAGGAACTGGAACTGGGGTCCCAGGTCTTCCAGCTCAATAACCAGATGGAAGCCATCCTTGGAGATCTCCATGCCAGGCGGGGTAAGGATGGCTGTTGGTGAGACAAGGGAAGAATCAAGGCCAGCCCCACAGGACTGATTTCCCTGACACGTGATGACCCCTGAGGAAGACAGGGAGTCAGCTGTAGCTTTTCAGAACACAAGTATTCTCCTGTACTCAGGAGGTGCTTAGAAATGTTTTTTGAATGATAGATGAATGAATGAATGACAATTCCCAACTCCTTTTTTTAATCCCTTCCCTACAATATAAAGTCTTTTGTTCCTTCTCTGGAAACACATATTCAATAAAAGGGATTAAATACTCAAGTAGACATTATCTTTTTTCCTTTTAAAATTATGTGCTCCATGGTCCTTTCCCCACCACTCCTTTTAGCAAAAATTGCTCTTCATTTAGCAAACACCTGCCCGAGCTGCCGAGCACAGCTGAACCCAATTTTAGCTTCTCAGAATGAACACACCTGGTGGGGCACATGCATCCCTATAGCTCACAGATCTGTGGCACATATTGGAGCCTGACTTTCAGACATCAGCAAATCAGATGCCTGTGGATGGATTGGGCATTCTGTTCTTGACCAAAGTTTCTTCATCTCACATCGTGTCAGAGATTTTGACAAGTCAGCTTTTTACATAATCAATTCTAGTAACTACAGCCTGCGCACCAACACCATCTTTCACATTGTTAGGTCCCAAAGAAAACCCAGCAGCGCCAATGGACACCTTTCCTGCCTGCAGACCAAGAACAGAGGGGCCCATGCAGGCAGCCTCTACTCCCTGGCTACTGATGGTGGGTCCATACTTGCCTTGCACAGCCAGGCACCAAAGGACCCAAAGGACCACCCAAGTTGTTGGTCTTGGCTCAGGAAGTAGGATGGGGCATGTCCTGGGGCCAGGGGGCATTCAGAAGAAAGGCAGTTCCTGGAGGGAGCTTTGAGAGAGTATAGTATTTCCCTCACCTACCTTATGAGAACCAATGTGCACCCAGGCATCAGAAAGCTGCCCCATAGGCAGTGGGAGGACTCGGGAGGTCAGGCTAGCTGTACAAACATACCCAGGCAGACACAGCACCACTAGCGTGGCCTCCGTAGCACCTCCAAGAGGAAAAGAGACTTGACTTTTTCACTTTTAAGTCATGCATGATTAAAATTGGGTCTTTCTCTCTCTCCCTCTCTCTCTCTCTCTCTCTCTCTCTTCCTCCCCCTCTGCTCCCTGTCCACAAAGTTGTCTCATTTAATCCATTTAGGAAACTTAAGAAGGTAAGTATTATTTCTGTTGTACTAAGGGATTAGAAACTTGCCCAGAGCCACATAATTAATGACCAAAATTTAAGCCCTGGTTTTTCTGTGTTTCCAACCTGCCCCATGTGGGGTGTTTTACCTGCTGTTTAACTCTGGCTCTACATGACAATAACCCGGGGAGAATTGAAATCAGATCCTCTGGGGATGGGTAGTGGGCAAGTGGTTCTAAAGCTCCTCTGTGAGTCCACAGTGCAGTCGAGACTAAGAATCTTTGCTCTCCATAAGGTGTAGAGCAGGAGATCCTCTCCAGAGAGCCCTCAAGCAAGACTTCAGAATCCTGAGGAGAAGCTGGTGTGGCTTTTTTCAAATGGGAAAGGGCAGACTGAATGCCCTTAAGATAACACAATGCCATCCCAGCTGGGTCATTAACTCCCCTGCTCAGGATCACACAGGAGTGCATCTTCTGCCTCCTGTTGCCGTTCAGGCTCCAGCTCCTCCGTTCCTCCTGCAGCAAGGCTCTTCCTGTTTATACTGCCTCCCTAAGTACAAGCCTTCCTGCAGAGCTCACACGCATGGCTTTGCAGACACCCTTATCTCCATCTGCCCCAAGCCTTCTTTCCAACCGCAGCCCCAGGCCCACGGATGGTCTTAGGTGCAGCACTAGGTGCCAGAGAAAAGTGACAGAGTGCTGCCTGGGCACTGTGGGCAGAGACAAGCTTGCAGTGCCGTCCAGTACCCCTTATCCTCCCCCAGTGCCTGGCACTGCGATCCTGCCCTGTCAACCAAATCCTCTCAGTGTCTGGGAAGGACGCCTGGCAGAGGAATACACATTCTGCACCAAAATTGCCATTGGCATCTCATTCTGGCAGTCCTGTTCTTGCCCCGGCCATTCCTGCTCTGCTGTCAAATCGTGGCACCCTAGGAAATGAAGAATACCCGCCAACAGCTGAGTGCTGTGATAGAATAGTACTGCACTGAGCATTTATACGTTTCATCTCATGTGGTCCCCATAACTACCCATTGAAGAAAAATGTTACCCCTCTTATAGAACAGGAGCCATCAGCCCTTCTGTCCAGTGGCTGACCTAGAGTTTGAAGTACATCCCTCTGATCCCACTGAGCCAACTTCCCTTTCAAAGCTGGCTTCATCTTCCTTTGCCTTTTCTAGCTTGAGGGGGCACCTTCTAAACCCTCCTGATTTCCACTCAATATTGTATGTTCCTCTGTAACCTTGACTTGTCCCATGACTGCAAGTGCTGCCCTGAATCTTCCTCTGCCCTTTCTTGCAACAGAGGATATTCTGCCACATTAAGCAAAGAGAGGCCACTGAAAGTCCCATCCCCTGCCCTTCCCACAGCCCCAAGCTGGTAGCATTCCCTCCCACACTTGTCTCAGAGGAGGAGCTGCATTTCTCCTTCCCACCTTACGGAGTCCGCCACCCTGATAACCAGATTGCCAACCCCTCCATTCCAGGGAATCACTTTCTCAAGAGCACACCCAGCGGCCTCCTTCAGCCCACCAGGAGCTCTTTCTTTTCCTCTCTGTGGCCCTCAACCTTCTCAGCCAGCCTGTGTTGTCCTTCCAACTATATTTAAACCCGAAGTTTTCCCAGGACCTTGTCCTAGAGTCTCTTTGTCCCATATATCTTGTCCCTGGATAATATCACCCATTCCCAAGCCTTCATCTACCAGCTCTGGGTTGTGATCTTTGACCTCTTTGAATCCCAGGACCTGATTTCCTGCTGTCAATCAGATCCCCATGGCTTGGTATCTTGCAGGAACTTCAGTCTCAAGTTGCACAAAGATGGAGGCATCTCCCATTCTCAAAACCAGCTGTTCCTCCCAGGCTCCCTGTCATGGATAATGCTCTCATCAATCTCAGAAGCTGAGCACCATCGCTGTCTCTGACCACTCCATCCCCTAATGACTGATTGCCATGTGCTGTCCTCTTCAACTCAGCCATGTCTCTTGAAATTGTTCCATCCTCCCCATCTTTTCCTCCACTCTTGTGATTAGGACCCATCTTTGCTCAGCTGGAGTGCTACGATCCCCCGTCACTCTTCTCCTGCCCTGCAGGCTTACCCCACTCCAGGTCACTTTGCACAGAGCAGCCAGATTGTTCTATAAGACAAACCTGGGCTAGACCTTCTCCTCTTCCATGGCTGCCCTCTACTTTTTTGACCAAGCTTCATGGCAAAGCCCTTTATTATGTGACCCGTTGCTTCCCTGTGCTCTACCCAGGCAACCTTTGCCTCTGATGTCTCCCAAGCATACACATCCTGCTACATACTACCCATCGCTTACATGTAGCCTTATCTGGCTACCTATCTGGAATCTTCTCATCTTAATAATTTTCCAGTTACTATTGCAATAAAAAAGTTATTTCCCAGTAACCATATAAAGGAACTGTTTCTGGCAGCTCTTAAATATAGAGATCCTTTTAAACAGTGAGTAAAAGTGGGGTAATGAGGCACCAGCAGTATAAGATTTATGGAGGCATGATCAGGGTAGGAAGAAGCGGTTTTGGAGCCACTTCTGCCTTTCCAGAGAAACATTTCTTCCAGGTTCCCAGTGACAGCCCCGCAACCACCTGCAGACCCTGACAGAGATGGCCAGAAATGACTACCAAACAAGGGCATAAGAGAGACAGCATGTGGGAAGCCATGGTCAGTTTCTGAGATGCACTAATAAAGGTGGTTTGTGTTCATGGTACTCTTGTTTTGCAGGACTGTTTTCATCCTAAAACAACTCACTGGCACAAGTTCCAAAACTCTATGAGAACATGATTCTTGAAGGGAAGGCTGGCGCAGGCAGGGGAGGAGGGAGAGAAGTGTCTTACTTGAGTTTCGATTGAAGGGCTGTTCCAGGATGCTCCAGGCTGAAGTCTGTGAGCCCAAGATTGCCCTAACACGGAGGCTGTAGGGCACTGTGGCCGTGATGTCATCAGTGACGTCACACTCAGGACCTTCAGTGCGTGAGCACCATTTGCTGGGAATCCAGATGTCACTTGTGTACAAGCTCTCATACTCACTGGCCAAGGAGAGGAGGGCATAGTGTCACTTCAGTCTCTGACTCAGACTCAAAGATGGTTGTCACTGCCTCCTTTCTCCTACTTCTTACGTATCATCAAAATAAGCATTTACTCCGCACTCCAGTTCCTCCACTCCTCCCAACCATCCATTTCCCTTCCTCCTTTTATAACCAGCCAAGAGATGCCTCAGCATAAACCCTGATGTGTCCATTCCTGTCCATGTCCACAGTTACCACCCTCCACTGCCATCATGCCTTGCCTTTCTATAGCCTCCCAGCTTCTACACTTCTGTCCTTCAAGCCACCCACTCAACAAATCACATGTTTCTGTCCTTAATGACTCTTGAAGTACTCAAACTGGAATCCAAACTCTTCCCTGTGGCCTACAAGATTCTAACCTTCTCTCTCCCAAGCCTACAAAATTGAAATTCTTAAACCAGGTGTGGTGGCACACGTTTGTAATCCCAGCACAGGGGAGGCTGAGGCAGGATGATCACTTCAAGTTCGAGGCCAGGCTGTGCTACATAATGAGTTCAAGGTCAGCCTGAACTACATAGTGAGACCCTGTTTCAAAAATCAAAACAAGGGGTCGGGGACTTAGCTCAGTGGCACAGCGCCTGCATGGCAAGTGCGAGGTCATGAGTTCAATTCCCAGTACAGGAAAAAAAAAAGATATTTTTGTTCCTAGCCATGCCTTCAAAACACTGATCTTCTTTTGCCTCAGACTAGTCTTTTTTGCCCAATTAGCTGTTCACTCTGTCTCAAATGCTCTGCCCATGCTGCTTACCTAGATGGTTCCTTGTGCCCTACAGATATGGGACGAGCAGCACCTCCTCAGAGAGGCCTTTCCAGCCACCTAATGTGAAGGCGCCACAGAGTTAACGCGATTGCATCAGCCTTGTGGCTGCCTCCTAGCCCTGATCACTACCTGAAACTGCCCAGAACAGGCCTTCCCTTCCGTGATGATGGCAATGTTCTGTATTGGTGGTGTTCCGTGTGGCAGCCACCACTCATGTGTGGCTATGGAGTACCTAACTGTGTCCGCGTGACTGGAGAATAAATGTTTTAATTTAATTTAACTTAATTTCAACTTAAATAGCTACCTGTTGCTAGGGGGTACTGATTGGAGAATGCAGACCTAGTATATTCACTGTCTCCAACTCTAGATGTTAAATTCCCTATATCCAGAAACCCAGCCAACTGTGCCCCTAACCTAGCAGAATGTCTGCACATAGAGAGTTGTTTATATTCATTGCTAATGAAATATATTGAGCACTTTCTCTGTCACTGCCACTTAACAGTAGCAAGCACCTGACTGCTACTAGGCCCAGGTGCTTGCTAGAGAGGAGACTAGATCCTGGTGGGCCCCAGGCCAGCTCCTTTAGGGTTAAGACTTATTTAGCTTCTAGGTATGAGTTCACAATCAGAAAGTCTGACATTGCCCCTGTACACCACGGATCTGGGTCTCCAACCACTTATCCATCTTGAGTGAGGATCAAACTCTTTGCACAGTTGACTCTGTATTGAGAAGAAGCTGTATTACAATGCACTTAGACACACTTTTTTTCCTTATGCACATTTGTGTCCCCAGAAAGTTCACTGTCACATCCACAAGATGATTTCGCTTGCTTCTTCAACTCTCCCAATGCCCATGCACTGAGGGAGCAGATCATTGAAGATCCCCTGTCCCTCGGCTCACAAAACCTTCTTGAGCTAACGAGGAAGAGCTGTGCCTGCAGGATCCACCTGCTGTCTAAAAGCAAAAGCAAAACTCACCCCTGGTACTCGACGGAATAGTATACTGTTTCTTCGGGCAGGACCACAGGGCTCCACATCAATAGGTGCTTCATGTTGGTTGAGTGTACAGAGAGGTTCTGAGGGGCAGGTAGAGCTGCCACTCCATCTGGGGCAAAGGCAAAGAGAGGCTGATTTGCAGGCGGACAGCTGAGGAACGCCATTGCTCCAAATTGGTGGCTAAGGAAAGACCTCACGGGTTTATGAATCAGAACAATTCTAATTTCATCGTATTTGTGCTAATGCTAAAATTTTGCTATCATTATTGTAATGCTGCCTTTGGGAAAAAAATGACATATTAATAGTAATAATGGCTAATCTTTACCAAGCACTTATTTTATTCTGTTTTGGCCATGTGCTAGATTGTTACATGATTATCTCTTTTAATCTTTATGACCATACAGGAAGTAAGAGCAATGATCTTCTCCATTACACAAATAAGAAAACTGAGGCACAATATTTATACATGTGTGCATGTATTTATTTTTAACAAACATAAAAATTGTACATATTTATGGGGTACAAATGTATAATGTTCAAATCAAGGTAACCATATATATCTCCTCAAACATTTACCATTTCTCTGTTAAAAACATTCAAAATCCTTTCTTATAGCCCTTTGAAAATATACAGTACATTTGCATTATCCATAGCTACTCTGTCCTACCGTAGAACACTTGAACTTACTTCTCCTATCTTAGTGTCCTTTACTAACTGTTGGCCAATCTGTCCCCATTCCTGTCCCTCTCTCACCCTCTCTTGCTTCTAGTAACCACTATTCTATTCTAAATATCTGTGAGATCAACACTTTTCATATATGAGTGAGATTCATATATTCATATAGATTCATATATGAGTGAGATCATGTAGCACTTGTGAACTTATTTCACTTAACATAATGAACCAGTTCTATCTATGTCACAAATTAAGTAGTATTCTGTGATATGTAATCACATTTGATTTATCACATTTTATTTATTTTTTTAAAAATCAGAAATAATTTCTCCTATAACGACAGGCCATAATGAAAGACATGCTTAGTAACTCTAGAGCAGATACAGATTAAAAATAGAGGAGCTTAGGGAAATGATGGAAATCATGAGTGCTCCCCAATATAGGAAAGAAATAGAATCCATAAAACAGATTCGGATATCCAGGAGATTAATAATTCCATGGAAAATATATGCAGCACAATGAGCCAATGTGAGGACAGAATATCAGATCTAGAAGCCAGAACTGTTGTTAGTGATCATGTAAAGAAAGATTTCTTAAAAATAGCAAGGGATTATTAGAAATCAATCCAGCAGCAGCTAGATGATGCAAAGAAGAACATAAGAATGAATGGAATCAATGAAAAAGCAAGAGACAGTGCAAATGACATTTAAAAACCTGTTTGCAGAACTAATGGCAGAAAATTTCCCAAGCAGGAAAAAAAGAATTTGATATACAACTTCAATTAACCATGACCAAAAAGAAAACTGTATGAAGACATATAATAGTCAAGATTCAGAAATTCCACACAAGAGCTGGGTATGGTGGCACACACCTATAATCCTAGCATTTGGGAGGCTGAGGCAGGAGGATGATTGTGAGTTCAAGGTCAGCCTGTGCTACAAAGTGAGATCAGGCCAACCAGACTGCACTGTAAAACCCTGTCTCAGAGCAACAACAACAACCAAAAATTTCACACAAGAATAAAATATTAAAACCTGTTAGAGAAAAGAAACAGTACATCTATACAGGAAAGCCCATTAGAATCACAGCAGACTTCTCAACACAAACTCTCAGGTCAAGGAAAGCTTGGAATGAAGTATTTCAAGCTCTAAAAGAAAACAAACTCCAAGCCAGATTGATGTACCCCACAAAATTATCTTTTAAAACTGATGGAGAAATAAGATACTCCCATGACAAAGAACATCTGAAGAAAATCATAAATACCAAACTAGCACTCAAAAATGTTGTGAAGGACATTCTATTAATAATAGTCACTCATCAGGTAAACCTCATTGGCTATGATACTGCCACTGTGCAAAGCTTGAAGGACATTCTAGAAAGAGATAACAAGGACTACAACTCCATGACCTCAACAGAATGAATCCACCAGGGGAGGGAAGCAATTAAACAGAGGGGAAAAAATGGGAACCAACACCATGACAAGGATAAGTCAAAACATATCAGGTATTACCAGCAATGTTAATGGTCTCAGTTCACCAATCAAAAGAAATAGACTGGTATAATGGATAAAGAAGCAACATCCAACAATTTGCTGCATACAAGAAACATACCTAATTCAAGAAGAAATTCATAGACTGAAAGTCAAAGGAGGGAAAATAATACTCTGAGAACAGGAATCTCGCTATTTGCAGACAAAGTGAATTTCAAGCCAAGACTGACTTAGAAAAGCAAAGAAGGCCACTACATTCTTGTAAAGGGCACAATCCAAAAGGAAGAGATAACAGTCATAAATATGTATGTACCAAATATCAGTGCAGCCAACTACATAAAACAAATGTTAACTGACATGAAAAATCAAATAAGCACTAGTATAATTGTAATGGGAGACCTCAATATCCCACTGTCACAAATAGACAGATCAACTAGACAAAAAATCAGTATTGAAATATCAGAACTGAAACAAATTTTGAACAAATGGACTTAGTAGATGTCTACAGAGCTTTCCACCCTACAACACCGGAATACACATTCTTCTCAGCTGCTCGTGGGACATTCTCCAAAATAGATCGCATACTAGCTCATAGGATATGCTTAAGTAAATGCAAAGGAACTGAAATTATCCCATGCATATTATCAGATCATTGTGCAATGCAATTGGAAATCAATGCCAAAAGAAACCACAAAACTTCATAAACACATAGAAATTAATGACACCCTCCTGAACAATCAATGGGTCACAGATGAAATTAAAGAAGAAATTAGGCAGCTTCTGTTAAATGATAATGCCAATACAACATACCAGAACTTATGAGACACAATGAAAGCAGTCTTACAAGGACAATTTATAGCAGTGAATTCCCATAGCAGAAAATCAGAGTGAGCTCAAATAAACAACCTGATGTTAATACTTTAAGCTTCTAGAAAAAGAACAAGTCAAGCCCAAAGCTTGTACAGAGGAAATTATAAAGATCAGAGTAGAAACTAATGCAATGGAGACTAAGAAAACAATACAAAGAATCAATGAATCAAGAGTTACTTTGAAACATTAAATAAAATTGACAAGCCCTTAGCTAACCTTACCAAAAAATGGAAAGAAAAGACTCAAATTCATGCAACTAGTAATGAAAAAGGTAAAATCACAGCAGATCTTGCAGAAATCCAGAAGATCACTTTGAGAAACTGTATTCTAATAAGATGGAAAACACAGAATAAATGACCAGATCCCTAAATATATATGAATTACACAAGTTGAAACAAGAAAATATAGAAATTCTAAATAAACTAACATCAGTCAATGAAATTGAAGAATTAAAAAGCTACCAGCAAAGTAGCCCAGGTGCTGATGGATTCACTGCTGAATTCTACAAGAAATTTAGAGAAGACCTAATGCTACTGCTCCTCAAACTCTATAATGAAATTAAAGGGAAGCAATACTCCCAAATTCATTCCTGGATGCAAGTATTACCCTCATACCAAAACCAGAGAAGGATCCAACCAAAAAAGAGAACTACAGGCCAATCTCCCTATGGAACATATACAAAAATCCTCAATAAGATACTGGCAAACAATGCAGCAAATCATCAAGAAGGTTATACTCTATGACTAAGTAGAATTCATTCCACGGATGCAAGGATAGTTCAACATAAGCAAATCAATAAATGCAATACACCATATCAACAGAGCCAAGGACAAAAATCACATGATCATCTCAATAGATGCAGAAAAAGAATCTGACAAAGTCCAACACCCATTCATGATAAAAACCCTGCAGAAAATTGGAATACATGGTCATTATCTTGATCTGATAAAAGCCACCTGTGACCAACCAATAGCCAACAACATACTAAATGTATAAAATTTGAAAGCTTTCACTCAAAAATCCGGAACAAGATCAGGGTGTTCATTGTCTCCACACTTATCCAATATAGTTCTGGAAACATTAGCCAAAGCAATTAGACAAGAAAAAGAAATAAAAATTAACAATAGAGAAGGAAGAAGTTAAATTACCATTATTTGTGGACAACATGATACTGTGCATAGAAGACCCCAAAATTCCACCAAAGACTTCTAGATTTAGTAACCAAATTCAGTAGCATAGCTGGATACAAAGTCATCACTCAAGAAATGAATAGCATTCCTATACACAAATAACAAACTCACTGAGAGAGAAAAATTATAGAAATAACACCTTTCACAGTAGCATCCAAAAAATGAAATACCTAGAAATCAATTCAATGAAGGGAAGAAAAGTCCTTTACATTGAAAAATATAGGGGGCTGGGGATTTAGCTCAGTGGCACAGCGCCTGCCTGGCAAGCATGAGGTCATGAATTCTATGCCTGGTACTGGAAAAAAAAAAAAAAAAAAAAAGAAAAATATAGTACTCTGAAAAAGGAGATCAAAGAGGAAATTAGAAAATGGAAACAGATCCTTTGTTCTTAAGTAGGAAGAACCAATATAGTGAAAATGGCCACACTTCCAAAATTGTTATGTAGATCTAATGGAATCCCAATAAAAATTCCATCGCATATCTCACAAAATTAAAGAAAATAATCCAAAATCCATTTGGAACCAGTAGAGAACTAGACTAGCAAATATAATTTTGGGCAAATAAGGCAAGGCAGGGTACATTCCAATCCCTGACTTGAAATTATACTACAAAGCCACCGTGATAAAAATAAAAATAAAAGACATGAAGATCAATGGAATAGATTAGAAGATGCAGAAACAAGTCAGGATATACTCAGCCACCTTATCTTTGACAAAGGAGCCAAACCACTTCACTGGAAGAAAGATAGTCTCTTCAATAAATGGTGTTGGGGAAATTTGCTTTCCGTATGCTGAAATTAAAACTAGATCCATATCTTTCACCATGCTCTAAACTAAAATAGAAATGGATCAGAGATCTAAATATTAAAACAAATACTAAATCTGCTGGAAGATAGAATAGGTAGAACTCTTTAAGACACTGGCATAGGCAAAGGCCTTATGAACAAAAACCTGACTGCATGGAAACTATCACAAAGAATCAACAACTGGGATCTCATCCTATTAAAAGCTTTTGCACAACAAGAGAAACCACCAATAGAGTGAAAAGACAAGCCATAATGTGGGGGAAAATGTTTGCCAACTGTACCTCAGGCAAAGGACTAATATCTAAAATATATAAAGAACCCAAAAAAATCAGACCCCTCAAATTTAAAGACCCAGTCCAAAAATGGAAATCTGCAATGAATAGCCATTTCTCAGCTGAAGAAGTAAAAACTGCAAATAAATACATGAAAAAATGTTCAACATTTCTGGTTATTTGTGAGATGTAAATTAAAACAACAGTAAGATTGCATCTCACTCCAGAAAGAATGGCTATTATAAAAAAATCAATCAATAACAAATGTTGGCAGGGCTGTGAGGTTAAAAAAAAAACAAAAAACAAAAAACTCTTTTTCCACCGTTGGTGGGAGTGTAGACTAGTGTAACCACTGCGGAAATCAATGTGGAGAGTCTTCAACAACTACAACAAGAAATTCCATTTGATCCAGCTATTGTCCTTCTTAATACCTTCCCAAAATAATGAAAAACATCATACCTCAGTGATATCTGCACACCCATGTTTATAGTGGCACAGTTTGTAATAGCCATGTCTTGTAAACAACTCAAATGCCCATTAACTGATGAATGGATAAAGAACATGGGGGGGGCAGGTTATACAATGGAGTACCACTCAGCCAAAAAGAAGGAGAAACTTGAGACTTTTCTAGCTAAAGGGCTGCACTTTGAGACTACATTTTTAAGTGAAATAAATCAGATACATAAGCCGGGCATGGTGGCACAGGCCTGTAATCCCAGCACTGGGGAGGCTGAGGCAGGAGGATTGTTGAGAGTTCTAGACCAGCCTGGGCTACAAAGTGAGCTCAAGGCCAGCCTGAACTGCATAGTGAAACCCTGTCTCAAAACAGACAAAAAAAAAAAAAAAAAATCGGATACACATATGTAAATACTGCATTGTTTTTCTGGTGTGAGAAACCCAAAGTGTAAATAAGGACCAAATGTATAATAGATATTGAGAAACAGGAAGAAAATGTTGAAATGAGAAAGGGAACACAGGATGGGGGGTAGGGGGGTGGGAAAGAAGGGACAAGAAAAGGAAAGAATAGCAGAAAAAGTGGAAACAAAGCTTTTGTAAATAAGAAAGTGAAGAGGTATTGAAGGGAAGGGAGGGGAATGGGAAGAAAAGAAGAAGCAAAATATATTTGTACAACAAGGCACAAACTCCCTATGATAAATGTAATCATTATGTAAATCTAAAATGTACCAATAAAATAACAAATAAAAAAGACCTCATTAAGAGGATGAGAAGGGGCTGGGGATTTAGCTCAGCGGCAAAAGCGCCTCCCTGGCAAGTGCAAGGCCATGAGTTCAGTTCCCAGTACCGGAGAAAAAAAAAAACAAAACCAAAAAAAAAAAAAAAAAAGAGGATGAGAAGATGAACTACACAATGGGAGAAAATATTTGCAAACCATTATCTCAAAGATAATTAGTATCTAGAATACATTAAGAACTCTCAAAACACAACAGTAGAAAATCAAACAATTCCATTAGAAAATGTGCAAAAGACAGGTAAAGATGTCTAATATGAAAAGAGGATATACAGATAGCAAATAAGTGCATGGAAAAATATTTAACATCATTAGCTTTAGAGAGATGCAAAGTAGCACCACAATGAGATAGCAGAGCACATCTACCAGAATGACAAAAATTTTTAAAGTAACAAAGAAAGTGGATCCTTTATATGTTGTTGGTAAAAATGGTAACACTCATTCCGGGAAAAACTTGGCAGGATCTCATAAAACTAGTCAGCAATTACTGTTAGGCCTACCGAGCGATCACACTCTTGGGCATATATCCTAGAGAAATGAAAACTTTTTATCATGTAAGACCTGCACATGAATGCCACAGTGAAAGTGAAATTAGCCCAGATATCTTGGAAAAAGTGGGTGGTTAAACTAAGACTGGTACATACAAAGCATGGAAGGAGGACGTGGAGAACGAACACCAATGGCCAGTAGCAGCAGAAATGGCAAAGCTAAGAGTCTCCCCTACAGCCTCTACAAGAAACCCAGTCCTGCCAATATATCCCTTCCCACAGCCTTCTAAATGTACCTAACCATAGTATGAAGACTAACATTAATACTGCAGCAATATCATTAAATAGACCCCAGCCTTTCTTCAAATCTCACCAGTTTTTCCCTGAATACTTTCGCTGTCCAGGAACCAATCCACCATCCCCCACTTAGTTATTGTATCGAGTTACTGCAATCCCTTCCAATCTGTTCTCAGTCTCTTTGTCTTTTATGATTTGACATTTCTGAAGAGTAAGAATTAGCTGTTTTGTAAAATGTTTCTAAGCTTGGGTTTGTTTTATGTTTTCATATGATCTGATTGAGATTACATATTTTTGTCATGTACTCACAGGAAGTACATTACGTTCCTATGTCTTACTAGTGATGTTAATCTTGATCACTTAGTTAAGGAGCAGTGTCTCCACTGTAAAGCTGCTAAGTTTGCCTTTGGAGTTAATAAATACCTTGAGAGTGATACTGTGAGCTTATGGAAATAGTCTGTTTTGCTTCAAACTTACCCATGAATTCCAGCATATTTGTAAATATTCCCTACAACAATTATTGCTGTTACATTCTAATAGTAAATTTTTATTTACTTGAAATTCTCTTGTAGGGAAGAGCTATTTTTTCTCTATATTTATTTATTTATTTTGGTTTTTCTAGACAGGGTCTCACTCTGTAATTCAGGATGGCCTTGGACTCACTATGTAGCCCAGGCTGGCCTCAAACTCACAACGATCCTCCTGCCTCAGCCACCAAACCTGGCCTCTCTCATTTATTTATATCTGTATGGACTCATATAGATTCATTTTATTCTATGGTTAAAATCTAGCACTATTGTTAGGTTTTGTTATTCAAATTTTTCCAGTTTAGGCCTTTGGGAACTCTTTCAGATTAATTCCTGTGTCTCTTTGATTGTTCCAGCCCTCCCCCCCATCATTTTCCATGTTTTCTTAACTTCAGAATTTAAAAATTCTTAATAACTTTAGAGCTCCAGAAACCTTGCAGACAGTAAGTACACAGAGTTCCCAGGTACATTCACTCAGTTTCCCCGAATGAGAACATGTAACCATGATATATTTATCAAAACTAAGGAACTAATATGGATACATTACCACAACTACACTCCAGACTTAAACTTAAGCATCTCAAATTGACACCGTGAACAGCATCCTAGAGCAGGAAGGGCATGTCCTTTTCACCCCAGGATGCAGAACTGCTGAGTTACTTAGTTAAGCTTCTAGACTTCTCAAGTTGACCCATTACAGTCCCTAAGTGATAGATCCAACACTCACACAGAAGTCCTGGACTCTGATGTCCTGTGGTCTCCACCACTGTTGTTGTTTTGTTTTCTCTGTAAGTTTATAACTGTCCAAAGAGCACACTCACCTCCAGGTCTGTTTGAAGCAGGAATTTTGAAGAAAAGATTTTAAAGACTGAATTCACTGAAGTAACTGTGACGTGAAAAAGTACTGACGTTTCTGCTTTCCATTCCACTGCCAGTCTTCTCCCTTTGGCTCAGCGGAGGGATGTTTCCCTGACTTTTTCTTTTTTGGTCCCAGCGAGAAACAATTAGCCCACTAACCAAACCACCAACCTATTTAGCCTAAGCTAGAGGATTAAGGACACCAGGAAAGATGCCCAGTCTCTTCCCTCAGGCCAGTGCTAAAAAAGGAAGTAAACCACCAAAGCCAAAGCAGATGGGGCCAAGGGTTGAAGCAAGGAAGGTCTGGGAAGGGGCTATGGAAGGAAGGACCTGGAATGATAATGGGAGTGAGATAGGAAAAGGAACTGGAGATGGTGCTTCTGGTGGAAAATTACAACAATAAACCCCAGGAGGAAGAAATGACAGTATAACGTGCTAATTATGAAGACAGCCGCTGCCTCCAGCCTATGTTTTCAAGAAATAGTGAGAGATGGGGTCAAATAAATATAGGGTGGGGCCTAAATGTGCTGGGTCATGGAAAAAAGAAAAGAAATTGGATACTATGTACTGAGCAATTGGGAGCAGTGAAAGTTTAGGGAACAGGAAGGAACCTAGTACGTTTGATGGTTGAGCCAGTTCTAAACATCTGCAGATTACCTTTGCAGATTTGTTGCCTAGTTTAAACTAATTAGAATAATTACTTTTGTGAAAAAAAAGAAAGAAAGAACAGAGAGAGAAATCTGAGGCTCCCACTAACCCCACAAATGACCAGATTCTTGGAATATTTAGATGAGGAATTTCTCTTACATGCCATTTGATATGAAGAAACATCAGCATGCAAGTTTGGAACACTAAAGCAGGTAAGTATAAGCAGTTAGGAGTGGAGCAAAATATGTAATCTTACTGGCAGAGAAAACGCCCCCAAACCAATTTATTTTTTTAGACAGTGTGGATACCTTTTCTGCAATGACCAAGAAAAAAATACAATGTTCTATACATACATTTCAACCCCAACTCCCAGGAAAGTATTTTTCACCTTTTTAATCTATATTCAAGGCCCAAACTATCAGATGAATTCTAATTCCTACTTACCTGTGAGCAAACATGGAATCAAGGTGTGGGAAAGCCACATGATAAGACTTGTCCGGATGCCTTTCAGAACCATTGTGAGGGTTTGTTTGCAGACTTAGTTTGACCTGGAACACTGTTTCCTTTTACAGTGAAGCATTCTGTCCATTCTAGCCATCTTGCTTCAGATGGAAGATGTTGGAGCTGAGGTTTGGGTTGCAGTTTTGTTCTGGAAAGAGGAGTTGGGCGGGATGTGCGGCACCCTCCTTTCTGCCCAAAACCAGCTATTGCAGCAAGGGGAGTGGCCTAGGAGAAGGCAACTCTGGGGAGCTTGAGAATCTGCCTGGGGGAAATCTCTGTAGCACAGGATCTGCGGGTTGGGGAAGGTGTCCCTATAGGTCGATGAGCAGGCTCAATTATCTTCCCTTCATACGTAGATGTCCAAGTTTCCCTCTGAGTTTATTCACGCTGCTAGCGATTGGCTCTTTTTGCTAATATATACCTACTTCCCAAAAAATTGAGAAGATTTTTAAAATTAAGACCTATTTATTTATTTAAGTTTTTTTGAGACAGGGTCTACCTATGTGTGGTTCTATCTATAGGGGTGTTTCTCTGTCACTCAAATGCTGAGGGCTGCCTGATCATGGTAGTAAAAATTTGGCTCTGGAACGTTTACCTACGTGTTTTTGAGGAAATGCAAGCAGTTCGCTTCTCTCACTTTCCTCATTTTCCTAGAGCCCGAGTTTCTGAGCTGTCTCTGCCTTCAAGAGAGATTCATAAGCAACAGAGGGAAGCTAGCAGAAATGATGGGACCTGAGGCTTGCTGGATAGAACTGTGTATGTTTGCAGAAATATGACAAGGGTTTGAGGCCCTGGCGGAAGTAGGCAGGGACTGGGGGGTGCTCGGCAACATCCAGTACCTACAGGAAACCATAACCAGCTGTGCTGGGTCCCATGGATATTTGGAGGAAACTTGGAAGGGAGAAATGGATCTGAAGCCTGGGGAAGAGTGTGAAGGAGGAAGCAGGTAGAAAGGGTGGCCCAGGGAGGAAGGACCAGGCCTGGAGGTACAGGAGACTGTGGCCTGGGGTGGAAAATCTGGGGAGCTGGGGTGATCTGAGGAAGGAATGAAGCAGAGGACTTTTGGATAAAACTGCAGAGGACCAGTGTTGCGGAACTAACTGTAGAGGCTGGAATTGATGCACCTATGGGACCAACTTAGTGGCCTGGAATCCTGAGATGCTGTGCAAAAGGCTCTGGTCTTGGTCTTTGCCAAGGAAATACCCATTTCTGCTCATCTTATTAGATGCTGAACCCGAAGAGGGAGGGCATGCAGTTCAGGGCATAGAGGGAGTGTTTATGCCCATAGGAGCCAGGCAGGATGCTGAGAGTGCTGAGACAAGAAATGGAGTAGCCCTGCTTGGGGCAGCAGTCCGTGGCACCAGTCCTAGAGGGGGTGGAATGTGTATGCTCAGGTGATAGAAGAAGGGAGAACCCATCCAAAACACGGAAACTGAGGGATGGGGAACAAGAGGCTCAATTTTGGGTGAAAGACCCAGAGTGAATGTGGCAAAAAGGCAGCCAAACTCCACGTATTAGAAGGTAGCTGAGCAATGCCCAGTGCACATTCATTTCATTTGGTTTTCTCACATGAGGTCAGAATATATGCCATAGATATTCACTGTTCTCTTTTCTATGTGGTCAGTCACATCCAGAAGTACAGAACCCTGACAGAAGCATTTCACCCACTGAGAATCCTGTTAAATTTATCTCCATTGGTAGTCCTGTTCTGCTGTCCAATATAAGAACTGTCACTGGAGGATTTGGGTACAAATGAATTTTGCAGTTGATCTGATTTTTTGCCTTCTCTCATTCTTTTGAATTTAATTACTGACTAAAATATTTTTTCAAAGAGATGACATTCAACTATTTCTCTCCTGTTAGTGTTTTCTATGTATACTAATGTGAGATGATAGAGTGAAGACTTTCTCAAACAGATGGCATTCATATGATTTTTCTCAACTGTGTATTCTCTCAGAACTACAAAATTGAGAATATTGCTGGCTGTTCCAAAGGTGACATTAATATGGTTTCTCTCCTTTTGTGTTTTCTCATGCATACTAAGCTGAGATAAATAAGTGAGGGCTTTATGACACAGCTCCTACGTAGTCCAGGCTGGCCTTGAACTCGTGGTGATCCTCCTGCCTTAGCCTTCTGTGTGCTGGGATTACAGGCGTGAGCCACCTCACCTGGCAAGACTTTTTAAAAGGTGAAGAATACACAGCTTCATATTTATGCGCATTTGCCAAAAGAAGATCTAGGAGATACAAGGAACTAAGAGGATTGTCTTGACAGAGGGGGTAGAACTGGGAAAAAGTGAAAAATGGGAATAAGAGTCTTTACTGAGTATCATTTTTATAGTTTGATTATTGAATTATGGGAATGCATGATTTAAAATAATTAAAATCAATTTTAAGAACCGAAAGGAAAACCTTGTAATTGAATTTGGCCTCTTAAACTCCAGCTGTTCTGATTTTAGTCTAGGAGTGCTCCCGCCTGGGTACTAGCCCCCCTGTGCTGCATCACAAGCCCTGTTAAAATAAAGACTCACACACACACTCACACACAAACCCACAACAAAAATTCTGACTCTTCAACAACTTTAAACACCCAAATGTGCAAATACAATGGTGGTATGAACATAGGTTTTGGAGTAGAACTTGTTCTGGTTCTAGTTTCAGAACTTACTTGCAGTGTAACCTTGGGAAAATTAGTCACTTATTTATCCACTTAACAAATATTCTCTGAGGGCCCATTTTGTGTTAGATCTTGTAGGGAAAAGGGGTTGTAGGCAAAGACAGAATAGAATAAAGGGTTCATTAGGCTTTCTGGCTAATCCTGAGTGGGAAGAGTTAAAATTTTACTGGAGGGAGCATCTAACAGGGCAAGGACAGAGAGAAGAAACCAGATATAGAAAGGCACTAAATGGCAGTGGACTTACATAAAAGGATCAGAGGGAGGCTGACCCAGAGCACAGGGAAAGCCAGGCCCTCGAAACCATGATGGTCACCCCTCTCCACCTCCAATAAGATGGCAAGGGGACAAAAGGGGCAGGGGGCTACTAACTTAAAGGAAAATTATATAAAAATATACAGTGGTACCTCAGTTTATGAACTTAGTTTTACAATTATGGGGAAGATGACTGCATTTGTGTTTGGGTGGGGAAGATGGCTGTGGTTTTGTCACCTGATGTGGAGTTTCCAAGTATCAGCAAAATTTTGTCAAATGCCCTTTGGTGAATCACATTGTTTGCAAATAGAAGTATTTGTGAACCGAGGCCTTACTGTGTATGTATTCCCACTCTAGGGCCATTACGGCTGCACTAGACAACCCACATCCCCTTAACCACTAACTTTAAATTGCCTTTCCATAAGACTACTCCTAGGCCACCTATAAATCTCAGACATAAGGCCCTGACAAGGAAAATAGGCATGGAGAAATTAAAGCCCACCAAAGCCACATGTGCATACATGCTGTTGCCTCGGTTAGGGTCTATGACAGTGCAGATAGCCAATAAGGTTGTGACAAGTTCTAGGTATCAACCTGGGAGGGAGAGCCCTTATCTCCTGATAAACAGAAGCGGCGACAAAGGCCCGCACGAAGCGATCTTTCTGGACCCACTTGCCCCGGCAGCTTTCTGTCTTCTGCTTTTTCCTCCTTACATATAGCGTCTTTTTAAAAACTCCATCCCTTTAATTCCTTACTGGTGCTGAGTTTATGATCCCTGTGGCTGCTCACCCCCGGAAGCACCAATCCTGAGTGTTCAACTGTTCTTGTTCCTCTGCAAAGAACTTCCTCATTATTGGAGAGCACATGGAAATAATCATAAACCAATTCAAAATACGGTGACAAATATTCACAAATAAGAAGCACTCAGAAACATCTAATCCAGCCTTTAGGATCACAGAAGGCCTCCTGGAGGAGGTGTCTTTATGACTATTAAACTCTCAGTAAAAAAATCAGCCATGAATTGTGTTTATGAAACCATAAGCAGCTTGTGGAGTGGCAAGAGATGGGACCCAGCCAGCAACAGGGTTCCAGGGCGCTTTCAGTCTTGTGCAGGGGCTTTGAGTTTAACCTTCAAGAATAATGAAGGTCAAAGGAAAGGTTAAAAACTCAAATTGATCATGGCTTTCTGTACATTTGGTCTTAAAATTTTATGACTAGGGTGGAGAACAGTAGTAAAGTGAGCCAGAGTTGGCAGGGGTTGGGGAGGGTGGATGACTGTGGCAGTCATCTAGGTCACAGATATCACTGGCCTACACTTGGTTTTCCATGTCTGTGAGACGTGACCACATCTAAAAGATAAAGGAGGTAGATGTACAGCTTCTGAATATTGAGTGGACTGGGAGACACTAGAAGAGGAGCCAAACGTGACTTTCAGGTTCTGGGTTTGGGGAAGTGGATGGATGGCAGCAACTCAACTGAAGAGAGGAGCAAGATGGGGTGGGGTCAGGACGGGCAGGGTTGGGGAGGTGCAGATGAAGATGCATGTATTCAGCTTGATGCACTTGAATTTGAGATGGGCATACAGGTAAGGAAATTCTCCAGTATGTGAATAATCTATCTCAAGTTGATGGGTGTCAGTGGCTTGGTACTTTCTCCCCTGCCTCAGGTATTTCACTGGTAGTGATAAGCTCATCCAAGAACATGCAGTTGAGAAGAGCTATGAATGTGCCCCTGAAGAAGACCCGTATTTACAGACAAGACAAAGAAATGGGAGGTAGAAGGGGGAAAATAGGTCAGAGAAGTGGTCCTGGAAACAATGTAGAGTGAAGTGATAATCCTAGCAAAGTGCAGAGGAGAGGACCAGTGAGTTGATCAATGAAAAATATCCACTGGATTTAGCAACTGGAAAGTCATTTATCATCTTAGCAAGTGGGTTTCAGTGGAGGCCTTGGACCAAAAGCTAGGTAATTGTAGATTAAGGAGTAGACGGAAAAAATCATGCTCTTATGATGCAAACCAGAAGAAAACAACTCCGCGATCCTCATGGACTTTATTTATATGGTAAGTACAGTAATTCCTTGCATAATAGTTATAGGAATTAAAGAATGCAGACAAAGCATATTAGCATAGTGCCAGACACATAGGTCTTTACAAATGGTTAGGTTCAGGATACCTAACAGGGCACTAAAGGAAAATGCTATCTGCCTTTTCTATATCTCAGAGTCAGGGTCTCGCCTGGCTTGGAATCCTCCTGCCTCAGCCTTCCAAGTGCTGGGTTTACAGGAGTACACCACCACTCCCAGTTATCACGGCTTCTCAATGACAGTTCTCAAGCCTAGGTCAGACCATCCTCCTGTGCCTGGTCCGTATCAATGGGTGAGGACTTCTGGAGAGCTATGCCCCCCTGCTAGCCTCCACCTGGTTTGCCTACATATCCCTAACTTTGAGTTTGCTTTCTCTTGTTACTTCTATGCCATCTCATCAACTGGTTGTGATCTTCCTATGCAAATGCCCAAACCAAACTAGCCTCTTCTGTTGCCTGTGCTTCTCAGATTAAACTTCAGTCTTTTGTGGAGTTACACGACCATCCATGTCTGAGGATGAACTACGGGAACAAGGGACCTATTTATCACAAGCAGGTGTGGCCTAGAAATAGGATTTTTCCCTATTATACTATTCGCCACTTAAATTTTTGATATTTAGTTATGGGAGGAAAAGCAAGCAGATAAAAAGGCTTACTGGAAAGGTGAAAAGAAACAGTGGGAAGGGAGAAGTGTGAGGGTCAAAGAGACTTCTAAATGCTCTGTGGCCTGCAGGGACACTACTTGACTGAAGAGCGGCAAGAAGCTAGGGTACACAGCTGGTGTCCAGGACAGGCTTTGGTGTCCAGGTCGGTCTGGATGGTCAATTACTCCATCCCCATCACCTTCCCTCACCCTCCTTAGCACAGAGTAGTTCTTTCCCTTTGCACCAACACTCCTAAATATTTATGTTCTGTGCTTTAGCACATCTGACATTTAGTTGTAACCCACTGTCTCAATTTGGGGGCGGAGGGAGTAACAGGGAATTTAAACAATGGAATTCCTTTTAAAACTCTTCTAATTCCACCAAGTCTAGACTGTCATGCTCCAATTTTCAGAGCTCCCACATCTCCTTTTCACCTCCTAGGAACATACGTTTTTTCACTTTCTTTCTTAATATTTCTTGCCTGATGATCAAGGATTTAACTTCCCTTGATCACAATCATTTCCTTAAGGTAGCATAAGATTAAACCCCTTACTTAACTCTGCCAAACTGTGGTTCTTCTGTAGTTATATATTTTCTTCTATATAATATCTCCCAAGAACTCTTAAGATGGAGAATCAGGGTTTACTCACAACAGTCCATTGTAGTTAAAAGTTCCATATTTAAATAAAATAAATTTCAATCAACTTTAAAATCTGAAAACAACAATGTTGTAATAATGATCTATACAGTTTTCAAAGAATTTTGGTTGCTATCTTTCATTTGATGGCTGGTTAGTCTTCTGTTAGCTGGAGCACACAGTATGATCCAAGGTCAATTTTATTCAAGACCTCTTTGATCATCCTATATAAACACCCTCAACCTCACTCTTGATTGATGTATCTACTCTTTTAATTCACACCCCCTCTCCAGTAGACACTGCTTGACTACAGCCAAAGGTTTATGAAATCTTTGTACACTTTCCCTACACCCAAAACTGAATAGCCTGCACCTGAGCAGTAAAAATATCTGAAGTTGGATGGGTAAGTGCCTCCAATAGCTATTTAAACATGCAGGGCTGGGCATTTAGCTCAGCAGCACAGCACTTGCCTAGCAAGCGCAAGGTCATGAGTTTGATTCCTGGTACCAGAAAAAAAAAGAAAACAAAACAAAAAACCCTAAACATGGAGACATGCACTGATAGAACATTAGTGCTAGTCAGCTTTCTGTTACTGAGACAAAAATACCTAAATATGAGAATCAACTTAAAGTTTTGGCTCACAGCTTCAGAGGTGTGAGGCCAGTGTCACTTGACCTTGGTGTTTTGGGCCTGTGGTGGGACAGTACACCATGGCAAAAGCACATGCTGTCCAGGAAGCAGAGGGAGGACTGGAGGGTGCCAGCTGGAATAGCCCCTTCAAGGGCATGCCCCAGTGACAGCTTCTTCCACTTCTCCCCCTTCCTAAAGGTTCCACCAGCAGTGCTGTGGGCAGGGGACTAAGCCAACATACGAGGCCTTTGCGGATATTCAACCTCCAAATGACAACAGTTCAAAAAAAATTTTTTTTTCATTTTGACAACAAGTAATTATCATATCCCCAGATGAAATCAGTATTTGTTTTCTGTAACATTCTTTAGGTCTATCTGTAGTCCAGAAAACGTATCAAAACAAGTTTGTTTGACATCATTTGCTCTAAAGCTACAGTTACTCAGGGGATGCTAATTTCCTCCCTAAGTGCTCAAAAATAGAAATTTAACAACTCTTCCTGTCTTTAACCTGTATTTAAATAGACAACACCTAGCAGGCCCTTTCTGAAGTCATTTCCCCATAAAAAATCCATTATCTGAACCCAAAAGTTTACTTAAAGCAACTAAATACATTAGCTATATGTCTGCTTTAAAGTGTCTAATAATGTTTCCCTGTTTGAAAGTCATTTATTCCATGAGGCACAAAACTATAGTGAAAAAGGAAACTGAGTACTGTTCCTTTTGCTATAATTACAAATAAAATTTGCAACATTATTCCAAAATAATGAGACCAAGTATCCATGTGCTTTAAGTAATAGGAGTGGAAACACTTCAAAATCAGTCAGTACTGTAGGTGCCTTAAATATTTGTGCTAAGCCACTGTAGGCATTAGGCGGGCCAATTCTGAAATATCTGATGTAAGGAAATTGCTCTAGACAGCAAACTATTCTCAAAGACAATTTGGTTTAAAACACATCTGTGAACATGGCTAACAAAAGTGAAACTCTTCCTCTTACTTTTCAAAACACCAAGCCCAGTTTGTTCTACTCATTAGACAAGTCTTAGCACACGTACTTTCAAATCAAACACACATTTCAATTCTTGTCAGTTGCTTTAGTTCATGTAACAGCAAGAAATCAGGGTGTGGAGCATGCATATTTTGCTCGTCTGTCAAAGCTCAGAATATGGCAGTGTTGAGTCATAAACTTGCTAAACACCAACAGAATCAGCTTATCAGGAGAGGAGCAGGCCAATCCTTCCTACCTTGCAATAAAACCAAACAATGCCCCCCGCAACAGGGATCTGCCATTGTTTAAATCCACAGGATGCTATTCAAAACACAGGAGGAGGGTATTATCTATCCCATCCTCAATGTCCCTTAAGGAAAGTGACCACAGTTGTAAAGGCATTTTTAACTGTTAAGATTATATATCCAAGATTACAAAAGACTCCTGTATCTTCTAGCAAAGAACTGAGATAGAGAAGTTGAAACACATTATAATGCTACATTCATAATCTGATTTGGGTAATGTACCTTAAATGTGTCTGAAAAATGAGAATTTGCAGATTCCAAGCCAAAAACATGAACTAGGGGGTTCATGAACTAGCAACCTAACTAGGGGGTGGTATAAGGGTTGGGAGACAGACTGTACAATACTGTTAATTTTTACAGCAGGTACATTGGTAAAAATAACAATATTACTTGTACTAGCTTCTAGAATTAAATTCCAGTGTTGCCAGCTTCTCATTTGGAAAGGAAAACTGTAATCGAATTTTATGTAAAATCCCCCAACTTTAAAATGTTAACTTTTTTTTAAAGTGGGGTTGGTCACTATGTTGCCCAGGCTCGCTTGAACTTCTGCGTGCAAAGGATCGATCCTCTTGCCTTAACCTCTTGAGTACCTGGGACTATAGGCACTGCCACCACGTCCAGCTATTGTGTAGGCTGAAGAGTATTCCTCTACAAGGCCACTATTTTTGCTTGTAACCAGAACAAAGCACCTGCCAAGGGGTGGGGGTGTAAATTCCAGACATCTTGATAAGAAGGGTCTAGGTCTGCCAGAAAAAAAAAGATGCCTTTCCCTAATTCTCACAAAGGTACAGTACTACACAACGATAACCTTGCCTCTTTGCTAGCGCTGGGTTACATGGTAGAGGATTATAACAGCTAGAAATAATGTACATGCCATTTATCTACAAGGATGACCTTATTCTAGTAATCTTAAGTTGCTCATCTGTTAGGCCTTCCTATTCTAGCAATCGCACTGGCTTTCCTATTTTGTTCAGTGATCTGTCACCAAAGTCTTAGAGGTGTTAGGTGCATGTGCTAAGCTGCATGTAGCATGATATGTGTGTCATATAAATTTGTGAATATACTGGCTGAACCCTAAGGATCTCTGGTCAAATAAGGGTTATAATAGCAATTGCTTTTGTTATTAAATACACACATATGTATGTGCATATGTTCTAAAAAACTTTATAGATTTTATACATTTGTACAAGTGGCTGAAAAGATTACATATATATTTAAATTTGATGACTAATCATCTCATATGCAGAAAACTTCTGTGATACTGCTTTTCCCAGGTCCTTCAACTAATGTAATATGTGACAATATACACACCAGGCTGGGAATGAGGAAACCCAGTTTCTCACACAAGTCCTATTACTACCTAGCTATGTAGCTATTTTATAAGGTTGTTCCAATTCTTAAGAAAACTGCTTCAAATAACATACATGCTTATAAAAACAGCCATTGGTGTAAGAATTGGCCTAACAATTAAAAAACAAAACAAAACAAAAAAAACCCTGAAAACATGTTGAAGTACAAAGTAGTTCCCACCAAGGTTTTTGTCCCACAAATGACAAGGTAACAGATACTGACATACATGTATTATCTGGAATTCTAGTTATAGTAAATTCTTTTTTGTTTGTTTTTTGAGACATCTCACTATGTAGATCAGGCTGGCCTTGAATTCATGATCTTCCTGGCTCTGCCTCCTAAATGCTGGGGTTATAAATGTGTGCCAGCTCTACAATAAATCTAATTATGGCACAAGAACATGCATTCTACTTTCAGTACTACTCTATTCCTAGCTACTTTCTCAAATTCTGCTTTATTAAGCAAAGGTTTGCTATAAATACCTCACTTCTGTGATACAAAGTATTAACTGCTCCTTTTAAACTTTTTTTTTCCATAAGGAAGACTGGGGAACCACAAAGAGAAAATAAAAAGTAATCATCATCAAATGTATGTTAAAAATGAAAAGATGCTTACCACTCAGTCATATGATAGCTACTTTTAAACTGTTGTCCTCTATACTCATGTGACTTCTGAAGCAATAAGATATGTAACTTTTATTGCCATGAAATTTATCTACTAAAAACTACCTTAATAAAATAAGAAATAGAAAGATATTGAATTACGAACTAAGAGGCTTTAAAAGCAGATGTACTAAAGCTGGAATTCTAACACCAATGTCTCATGTGCTGACTTCTGTTGTTTAATGGGAGAAAGGAGGGCTGCCACCCAGTGGCAGCATTAGTCTTTAAATTACTTTAAAATTTAAATAATAAAAATTAAAATAGTTTTTAAAGCCCTCATAAATTACATATTGAATTTTATAATCAATAGTTCTGGTGAATTAAATGTCTTTATAGCAACAAAGAGTGAAAGTATTTGTATGCTTGGGCAACACGGGATATTTTTGAAAATATATGACTACTGTTTACTATATGGTTTTAATAATTCTTTTCAGGTAAAATATTGCTGGTTTCTTTGAGTAAACTTAAATTTCCAGATTAATGAAGAGTGTGACCACAAAGTACAACTGTTCTTTCCTGTGGCCTCCAGAAGTAGACTCAATCAACACTTTACAGTATTCTCTCACTCATACATTAAAACTTCTACTTGGTCAACAAAAATGTAAGATTTAAAAAATAGAAAATTTTATCTAATCATAAACATCTTTCATTTTTCCATTAGGCATACATCAATGTTAGTGTCCCAGTTAAGGAAACTCAAAACTTAAAGAAAGATGGGGTAGGGATGTAGCTCGTGGCAGAGTTTTTGCCTGGGCTCAATCTCCAGCACCTTAAAGAAAAAAAAAAGCTGAAAGGGGAAAATGAAAATAGGAAATACTACTATATCCTATAATTACTGATGTATGTTTAGGGAGGAAAAAACTCACATATCTCGTTGTCTATTTCTCTAAAACCTGGCCATAACTTTTTTCACACATAACATAAACATAACATGTACTAATACAAGAAACTCTGGTAGAGTAACACTCAGAGAAAACACTAACACTAGAACATCCCTTACAGTTTTAAAAGTTCAGTATCTCAGAGACTGTCTTGAATAACCAGATGCAAAAAAGCACCAAAGAAAATCTTTTAAGAATTTAGATTTTTGTTTCAAGCTATAAATTAAAACTGCGTAATGTTTTCTAACCTATGTCCCATCTGTTTTGTAGTATACTGTAGGCAATGAAGACATTAAAAAAAACATACACAACGTATTTGGTATTTACAAGGGTGGTGACAAATACAATAACCTGAAAAGAATTTCTAATTTTCCATTTATTATTGCTATTTAGTCACAGAAAAGATAACACTTTCCAAGAAATTTACTTTAGCATATGCCGTGTATAGAGATATAATTTTATATGAAGAGAAACTATAGCAGAACAGGGATCTTTACAAGGAAACACAGGAAAGGCAATAAAGGAATTCTTCCATACAGACTTCTGATCTGTATTATTCGATTCTTTTTCTCAAAATACAAAACCTTAATATTAGAAGCAAAGAGAAAAACAGTAAAGAAGAAAACAGTGAAATAAAAGACCAAGGATAAGTAACTGTTCTATGCTGATGCATTGCATATATAGTATATATGTACGGGCCAAATGATAATAAAAAATACTTATGTATGATAGTCAATTCTCATACAGAGTTAGAAACAGCAACTTCCAATCAAGCAGGATTGGACCAACACTTTCTCAGTCTTCAATTACATGAGGAATAAAGCTGTATAACAGTCACTTCTGATTAGCAGTATCATGATAAATGCTTGACAAGATATAACTTTTCTCCTTGTTCACTTGTAAAAATTGGTGCCTTTTTGTAATGTTCTACAAGTTCTTCCATGGTGCTGAATTTACGTTGCCCAATGCAGTAGAAGGTCTCTTTTAGTTGAACTTTAAAATGCTTGTTTTTCCCTTGTGCTTTCAATGATACTGAAAAATCATTTGGCTAAAAGAGGAAAAAAAAAGTAAACATTTTGAAAGCCATAAACATTTGAAAGCATTTTCATATTAAAATGATAACTGCTATAATCTGAGCATTACATAGTAGGCACTATGCTAACTTTTTTACAGATTATTTCCTTCACTGCTCAAAAAAACTTTTTTACAGATGAGAAAACTGAGGCTCAGAGAAGCTAACTTGCCCAGGATCACCCATCTAGTTAACAACAAAGGCAAGACTCAAACCCATGTACTAGAGTTTCTTAACACTCATAGTGCCCACAGCACAACATAGCAAATCCTTTAGTATCTAAAGAACAAGAGCTATCTTTTCTCCAGGCAGACTACTGGAGAACACTTCAGAAAATACCAGACATCCACTCTACTAACCTTTCAATTTGTAGCAAAGGGTAGCTGACTTACAAATAATACTCTGAATTCTCAAATATAAAGGGTACACAAAAAATCTAAACTTTAATAGTAGTTCACAAACTCAAATACCTACAAGGGCCAAAAGATAATATAAATAGGTGTCAAGGGAGATGGACAGAGGGAATGACAGTGTACGGTCAAGCTAAAGAAACTAACACCTCTCATTTGTGAATGCTGCCTTGCAGGAATAGGGATTTCATGCTGGTAGTTCTTTTTTAAAAAAGAGAAATCTTAAGTGTGGGCTTGAACCTCTTTGCATTTGTTTACTTTTAAAGTTTCAAACAGCAGGCCAGATCAAGCATGTAATAGAAAATGGATGCTACTTCTCTTCTCTATTACTAATTACTTGCCATTCTGAGGGGTTTCTATCAGGAAGTTAATCTCAATCTTCCTCACATACAATTCATTCTCTTTCAATTGCTTGAGCAAACACGCATTCATTTTTGTACAACTACATTCATACAAAGACAATACTAATTATGACTTGCTAAGTGGAAAGGTATAATGCAGCAATACCATTTACCAGAGAAAGGCAACTTGTAAGGAAAATGAGTGTCATAAAATGTTAATATCCTAGACAATGCCCAAGAGAATAGCTATATTATTCTTCAATTTTGTTTTATAGTTTATTAATACTGTAGTGTAATTTACCTTTTCTTGCAACTCTATTTCAAACACAGTATTAAAATAGGGTTTTGAGGTATATAAAAAAGTGTATTTTAACTCCTAAACAACCAATTTATGAAGGAGCTTGAATATTAATTTTTTAAATGTAGGGATTTCCTATAAGGACTACAGTGATTATCTTTTTATATATAGCATCTATTAACAATTTAAGAAATGATTTCCAACTTATTCTATTGCATTTGTCTACTCTCAATGAAAAAGCCAACTTCTGCTTTCTCCATTTTCCAGTTTACTGCAACAGGAAATACTCCAAGAAAGCTAAACCAACATAGGTGGGCAATGTCAAATATCCTAGTATGGTATCACTGCTTAATATGGTTACAACTTAAAATGTCCCCCAGAAGGCTCATGTATTCAAAGGTGGAGCTTCTGGAAGGTGACTGGCTCATGGGAACACTATACTGATCAAGGGGTCTACTGGTAAGTTCCTAGTTGAATATACTAGGAGCTGGGGCCTGACTGAAGATAGATCACTGGTGGCATGCCTCTGGAGGGTATATCTCTCCTCTCACTTTACCTCTCTCTGCTTCCTGGAAGCCAAGAGTTGAGGAGCTTCTTTTACTACACTCTTCCACCATGCTGTTCTTCTCTCTTGGTGCCAACTTATAAACTGAACCCTCTGAAACCATGAGACAAAAAATAAACCTCTCCTCAAGTTGTGTAAATCAGATGTTTTATCCCAGAGACAAGAATGTGACCCAATACACTGCTACAGCTATCTTTTATTCAAAACTGATCCACCTGTAAAGAACACTGACTTTAACCTCAGAACATTTATACTTATGTTCCAGCTTACAACTTGGTTAACTTTAAGGAAGCCATTTAAACTCTCCAATCTTCTTTTTAATACCCAGAGCTCTGTTTCCATTTCCCTATGAAAACCAACTTACCGAAGATTCACTATCACGGATGAGAAAGTCTCCTTCGTGTCCTCTTTCATTTAATGCCATTTCTGCTTGATGTCTGGTAACTTTGCCATAATACCAAGGATTGCCAGCAAACTTTCCAGTGAGTGAAGGCCTAACATAATCACACTGTGGAGGTGACGGTTCCAAACCTGAAGTTAATGAGTTATTCTGCATAACGGTAACATAGTTTTTTGGTACCAGACCAACCATACCATTGATCTTCCTGCATTTCCACCACTCTGGGTCATTTTCTGGCTTTTCAATAACATCCATTATATCGCCTTTCTCAAAATTAAGTTCTTCATCATTGGACGAACTGAATGGGTAAAGAGCCTGTACCACATGCAACACTTGCCCAGTATTTAGGTTATTGACAACTGCTGCTAATTTTTCTGACAGTGAACCCACAGGGTCACCCAAAGGACTGTCACCCTCTTCAGTTACATAGTTTGAAGGGAACCATCCAATTTGTCCATTGTAGCTACCCCGCCACCACCCATCACTGCATTTCTCCATGACAATCACTTTTGTTCCTTTTATCAACGATAATTCATCCTCTCTCTCAGCCATGTAGTTAAATTTCACATAGGCAGGCATGTTGAGGTCATAAAGACGTTCCCCTGGGTCAACAAAACTGTCATCAGCAGGAGATGCAGAATCTGGAACACTAGGTTTTCTTTTCACTTTTCCAATGCCTGTTTAAATAAAAATGAGGCAATGAGAATACAAAATAATGAGTACAAACATAAAAAACCTAATTTATATTGAACAAAGACCTTCAACTCCATAGTTTAGACCTTTATATGTAGATAACAAATTTGTGTCTACTATCATCTTTTTGGAAACCCAAGATACAAATTCTCTTTCCATAACCAAATAATTTCAGTTATGTGGAAGTTTACCTTCTTATCTTTTCTCTTGCCAAAGACCTTAAAATAATTAATTGCAAAGTGGTCCTAAACTGACTTTCTCTTAAATGTTAATATACAGCATCTCTCTCATAGCTATAAGTACACAAAACTTCCAACAAAGCCACACATGTCTTGGTAACAGTTTAAAACAATGACTTAAATTAGAAATAGATATGCAATATAAAATTATAGTCACATCTGGGTAAACTCATTTGCTTTTTCACTTTTCTGACCCAAGCAGCTCTATTTCATTTCATATGTTTATTTTAACATAACTTGTCTCACTTGATGCATTCACCTATAACTTCCACAAAGGCAGATAATTTTATTTTTACCACAGACATAATCCCAAGGACTCTACGCAGTGCTTACACAGAAGATGCTTAACATGTATTTGTTGGAAGAAATGAGTACACTAGCCATCAGCACTATCATCACAAATGTATGATCCCTCAAGTTCAGTCAGGTATTGTCAAGGCTTAGCATGCTGATTCTGTTTTGCAGACAACTGGAACTTTTCCTAGATAAACTTCTTAAATTTCTTCTGTCTTAAAAATTCCTTCTGTCTCAAGAGAGAATGAGTAACCTCAGTCTCATTCTTTAGTCAGCTCAGTCCTCAAACCCTGATTCCTCTAGGTTCTTAACACCATCTTTCCTGACTCTTTTCAGACTCTTCACCATCCTTGTTTCTTTCCTATTTAATTTTTGTCAATGTCTAAAAACAAATGTGAATCTCTTCTATTCCAAAATAAAGTGGGTATAACTTTGCTATTCTTTTTAAACTGTATCAGTCATTATAAGGTTGTCTTCCAAAGGAGCCAACCACCTTCTCTGGAAGAAAGATACCCTCTTTAGTAAATGGTGATAGAAAAATTGGCTTTCCACATGCCAAAGATTAAAACTAAACCCATATCTTTTACCAAACATTAAATTAAAATCAAAATGAATCAAAGATCTAAACATTAAAACAGAAACACTAAATCTGCTAGGTGATAGAACTGGTAGAACTCTTGAAGACACTGGTGTAGGCAAAGACTTTATAAACAAAAACCTTGATCTCACAATAACTATCACAAAGAATCAACAACTGGGATCGCATCGTATTAAAAAGCTTTTGCACAGCAGAAGAAACCACCAACAAAGTAAAGAAACCACCAACACAGTGAAGAGACAGTCCACAGTGTGGGAAAAAACTTTTGTCAGCTGTACCTAAGACAAAGGACTAATATCTGGGATATATAAAGAACTAAAAAAAAAAAAAAAAAATCAGAGCCCCCAGATTTAAAGATCCAGTCCAAAAATGGGTATCTGAAATGAATACACTTCTCAGAAAAAATAGAAACCACAAATAAATATATGAAAAAATGTCCCACATCATCAGTCATTTGAGTGGTGCAAATTAAAACAACAGTGGATTCCATCTCACTCCAGAAAGAATGGCTATCAGGCAATAAACCAGTAACAAATGCTGGTGGGGTTAGAGGGAAAAGGAACCTTTCTCCACTGTTGGTAACAGTGAAGAATGGTGCAGTCATTGTGAAAATCAATGTGGAGACTCCTCTAAAAACTCCAACCAGAGAGGTTCCACTCGACCCAACTATTCTTCTTGGTACTTTTCCAAAAGAGTGAAAAACATACCACAGTGATATATGCATACTCATGTTTACAGTGGCACAGTATGTAATAGCCATCAACCAATGAATGAATAAAGATGTGGGTTTTTTTAAAATACAATGGAATACTACTCAGTTATAAAGGAAAAACTTTTCTATCTAAATGGATGCACTTTGAGACCATACTTTTAAGTGAAATAAATCAGACACACTACAAAATACCACACTGCTTTTCTGGTATGAGAAACCAAAACTGTAAGAACTAAAATGTCTAATAGATATTGGGAAATAGGAAGAAATGTTCAAGTGGGAAGGGGAACTGGGGAGCAGTGAGGGGGAAAGTGAAGGGAAAGATAGGAAGGGGAAAATGAGAAAAGAAGGAAAAAATGGAAACAAAGCTTCTGTAAAAAAGGATGGGAAGAGGGGTTGAAGGGAGGGTAGGGGGATGTGGACAAAAAAGAATCAAGTTATATCATGTACAGGTACAAATTCCTTATGATGAATGTGATCATTAAGTATACCCAAAAGGTACCGACAAACATGATTTTTAAAAAGTGGCCTTTTCCTTCAACTTTTTTACCATTCCTTCACATGCCTACCTCTATAATCTGATTTTCTATCACCATCATGCCATCAGAACTACTCAATTAAAACCAATCTTATGAAACTCATGCTGCCCCCTTATGGCCAAAGTAGTATGTTTCAGAGTCCTCAGCCTTCTCAACATCTTCACATGGCAACAAAGGCCTACCTGGGGAACCTGGACTGGCGCCCTGCGCTCTACGCACATTGTGAGTCACTCCTGCGGCCCAGGTGCCCTCAATCAGTTGCCTGGGGAACTCAGAGCAGTGCCCCGTGTCCTGCTGAGGCACTGTAGGTCATCCCGAGGCCCTGAAGAGACAGGTACGCCCCATCAGCTGCCTGAGGACCCCAATCTAGCACCCCACATATTGCCAACATTGTGGGTCAGCACGAGGCCTGGATGTCCTCAGTCAGCCACCTAGGAACCCTGGTCCTAAAGGCCAGCACTCTGCCATCAGGGCTCTCATCTCAGCCATGCATTCCATCAACTGCCTGGGGATCCGGGACCCAGTGGTCTACCTCCTGATGCCATCATGGGGCAAGTCTGACACCCACGAAATCTAGAGACCCTAGAGAACTTCCAGTAGCTGCCTGGGAAGTGTGAGGCTCAGCACTTCAACTCCGACATACAAAATAAAGGACCAAAATGCAAACCCGGAATTCCACTGCACACAGAACAAGTCCAGGAGACATCGACATAGGAGAACTCAGAAGTCACACACCTGAAATCTCTGAAATCACTGCAACTGAACTGAAGAAACAACTCCATCAGGCCACAGAAGAAATCTGAACAGAAATAGTCTCTCAGGAAAAAATGAAATGACAACAATAATGAAAGAAATGCTCAGCACATCTAAAGAGGACATACGTTAAAAAAAAAAGAGCATAGAAAAATGGTAGAACCGTTAAATGAACAACAGGAAAAAACTAGAATGCATGGAACAGATTCATAGACATATACAGGAAACTTCTATTGAAAGCTGGCAAAACCGTTTGAATGAAGCTGAAGACAGACTTTCAGATCTTCAAGACAGGACTGCAGCTAACCATCATGAAAGGAATGATCTCTTAAAAATAACAAAAAACCAGGAAATAACAATTCAACAGCTGCAAGACACGCAAAGGGAAACAATGTAAAACTAATAGGTGTGGACAAAACTGCAGGAGTCAACACAATGTCAACAAAACGGCAGGAGTCAACACAATGTCATAAGAAGGCTATTTCAATGCCCTAAGAAGGCTATTTGCAGAAGTAATAGCAGAAAATTTCACAAGTATGGAAAAAAAATCTGCCATACAAGTAAGTGAGAGGTATGGAACTCCAATTAGCCATAACCAAGATAAAACTACACACAGACATATGATAATAAAGATCTCAGAAATCCAGCAAAAGCACAGACTATTAAAAGCTGTTAGAGAAAAGAAACAGATCACGTATAAAGGAAAGCCCATAAGAATCACGCAGATTTCTCAAAACAAATAATCAAATCAAAAAGAACTTGGAGTGAAGTATTCCAGGTTCCATTTGTTTTTTTTGTGGGGGGGCGGGCAGGGAGGGTTTCCAGTACCTGGAACCGAACTCATGACCTTGTGCTTGCCAGGCAGGAGCTGCAGAGCTAAATCCCCAGCCCTATTCCAGGTTCTAAAACAAAACAATTTCCAACCCAGACTGATGTATCCTGCAAAACCATCCTTCAAATTTAATGGAGAAATACAATACTTCCACAACAAAGAACTGAAGAATTTCATGAGCGCCAAGTCAAGCCTACAGAGAGTACTAAAAGACAGTCTAGAAAGAGATAAAAAGATCACAATTTCAAGAACAACAATAGAATGGAACCACCTAGCAGACAAAGCAATTAAACAAGAGTAAAAGTAGGAAACCAAAAGCAAGTAAATAACATGACAAAGACAAGTCAACATATAACAGTAATAACCACTAATGTAAATGGCCTCAATTTACCAATCAAAAGAAGCAGACTGCCAGAGGATCAAGAAACAAGATCCAACAATATGCTGTATACAAGAAACACATTTAGCCAGGCGTGCTGGCCCATGCCTGTAATCCCAGCAGCTGGGAGGCTGAGGCAAAAGGATCCCTGTGAGTTCAAGATCAGCCTGGGTTAAAAAGTGAGCTCAAGGCCAGTCTGAACTGTGTAGCATGACCCTGTCTCAAAAAAATTTAAAAAATCAAAAAAGAAACACATTTAATTCAAAAGGAAATTCACAGACTGGAAGTCAAAGGTTGGAAAAAAATTCTCCATGGGACAGGAACTCAGAAAAGAGCAGGGGTAGCTATTCTGTTTTTGTTTTTTTTTTTTGGGGGGGGGGTTTTCTCCGGTACCGGGAACCGAACTCACGACCTTGCGCTTGCCAAGCAGGCGCTTTTGCCGCTGAGCTAAATCCCCAGCCCCAGGGGTAGCTATTCTGATTGCAGACAATGTGAACTTCAAACCAAGAATGATAAAAAGAGATAAAGAAGATCACTATATACTTGTTACCTGACAATTTCAAGAGGAAGAGATAATAATCATAAATATGTATGCACTAAATATGGGAGGACCCAACTACATAGGACAAACCTTAATA